ATTGTCGGGAATTAAATTAATTTATGTAACGTGTTTCACCTCATGTTTGGCACAATTAAACACAAAACACAGATGCTAGCTATGGCTAGTAATAGTATATTTCTGTGCCTTTGTTTCCTTTTTCCTTAGCATTCCTTTCTCTTTCACCTGGGAGACAAAGGTGTTGCTTATTGAGTTTAGCTGAGCCAGCTCTCATTTTTGGAGGGGTATATTATTTGTTTGGACAAAATAACACAGTTCCTCTTTTCCTAAACTAACTCCCACTATGACCATTAGCTGAATGACATTTCTCCCCACCTCTGACAGAAAATACTCTACATCACACAGACTTGAGAAGAGCTGTGTAACCATGCGGACGTTAAGGGACTACTGCAGCAGGCTGCTGAAAGTGGCGTGAGACCCCAGACAGCTGAGGGCTCCAGAAGGATTGCCGCGGTTACACTGGCTGAGTGTGCAGTCCTGGTCCCATCCTCAGATCGCCACAGCTGTATTCAGCCTGTGCGATGAGGGACCAACCAGGTGTGCTCACGTATGAATCAGAACTAGCGTAGCAGATGCCTAAAATGACCCTGACTCATTTTAGTGTTTCTCTTTGATATCCTGGGCTCTAGTATCTTGAATGCCAGTGAAAATTGCTGAATACCATCCGTTACACCAGTTTCCAAGACCGCAGTGATCCACATACTAGAGACTCACCCATAAATCCTTCCTATGATTCCTGTGCCAGCAGTCTTAAAATACAGAACTACGCCAAGTTTACATGTTTCTTGTCGTTCTACTCCCCGCGATAATTTTTTTCGTTTGGAAAATTCTCCTCCATTACAAAGGTCATTTTTAAGTCAAAGGCAGATCATGACAACGAAAGAGAACATTGGAGCAGATTTTGCTTCTTGTACACGTCTACCCTATCTTTACCTATCCTCTACTTTGTCTGAGTAAAGCATAAAAATAAATGTCAAATGAGGAAGTTTGTTGTCTAGACAAGGGCAAAATGACTAAGTTTGGCTTAGGACAGTATTTTACTTATTTTAGAAAAGAGTCAGCGAACTGAACTTAGCATTTCCTAAAATAACTTTTTAAAAGAAGACTGGGTGAGAAAGTAATAAAATAAGAATCTTCATTATTATAGCTTTTGCTTTTAAATAAACACAGATGTCTGTGGGTCGTTGCATGACTTATCATAAGAATGTCAGTGTTGACCAGGTTTTCAGTTCCCCGCGGGTACAAATCTCCTCACAATATCCCAGTCTTCCATCTAAGCTAAAATATGTAGAAACAAACAGCGTATGTTTAACAATGAAGCCCTTCGGCACTGAATTATAGACCTGCTCTGGAAACACACTCAGGGTTATGCCTGCTTCACAAATACTCAGATACATCTATTGTCTTACTCAAGACCATTGTGGTTTTCCCTTCATAGTCTTAAGAGAAATATCTATATAAACAAGGGCATCCCAAACCTTATCAATTCAACATGAACATGGTGAGACACAGATGAGGGTTCCTTAGGAGCAGGTATATTTGAAGCAGGCACTGAAATAGAACTTCAGTGGCGAGAAGGTTAAGTTGTTTCCATTGCTAACGGCCAGGTCCCAAAACAGTTTAGGAGGAAAGGGCTTATTTGAGCTTACAGTTTATAGTCCACCATCAATGGAAGAAAAGCGGGAAACTCCAGGCAGGAACTGAAGCAGAGACAATGGAGAAATGCTGCTTGCCGCTTTGCTCCTCAGCTTGGCTTTTTATACAAGCAAGGACCCCCTGCCCAGGTGACCCCACACTGAGGCCTCCCACATCCAAAATGAATTGAGAAAAGACCCCACTGCCTTGTCCACGGGCTAATCGGATGAAGACAACTTTTCAGCTGAGGTTCCTTCCTCCCAGGTGACTCAAGGTCATAACAAATTGACAACAGTTCAGCAGCACTTGAACGAAATCATGTTTATATCTATCTTTGAATTTTATTGTGTTCATTTTGTATTTCAAATGAGAATTGTTGTGTCATAGATTTAATAGTATCTGATTTTCCAGGCAATACTCCACAATAAAGAAGGATGAATTATGTAATCATCCGAGGTGGTGGGGCACACGCCTTTAATCCTAGCACTTGGGAGGCAGAGGCAGATGGGTGTCTGTGAATTTGAGGATCGCCTGGTTTGCAGCATGAATGTCAGGACACCTAAGGCTACACAGAGAAACCCTGTCTCAAACAAGCAAACAAACAAAAGAAACCAAACAAAGAGAGAATTATGTAATCATTTTTCTTCTGTTTTTAGCTTTTTAGAAAAGTTACTTTATAAAAAGCTTTGCTGATTAAACAGTTTTCATCAGATTCTAATAATGGTTCACAACTTGTATTTGCCACCAATTTCCGAACTATCTTGGAGACAGACTAATATTTTTTCTTTCTCAAGATCCCGTGAGAGGATAAATTATTTTACTGGTCTGTTTTTGAACAATGAGGGGCTGGTGAGCATGTCTGTCAATGGAGATCACCTGGGAACAAAACACTGCTGATGCTCTGGGTCCCCACTAATTTGTGCCAAGCATGGCTTAGGCCTGTTGTATTACAAAAGTTCTGTAGGTGGCTAAAATATTCCGTTCTTGATATTCAAGTGAGACCTTCATGTCATCAGCACCGTCTTTACCTGTGCTTATCAGCAGGATATTTAAAACATACTTCAATCTTGCTGCATCAGAGCTATGCAAAGACTATGCACAATTCAACCCATTTAAGTATTCATCATTTATGAAAATATAGGACCAATGCCATTGCATCCTTCCTCATTAATCAAGTTTTTCTTTATTTATGAATAAAATACCCTTGATAGCTCAGAAGGAAGAAAACTTTATTTTGACGATTATTTGAAAGAGAAAGGGAAGGGCTGGGATTCTACACTCCAACTGAATCAGATGTATCACATAACCTATAATCTCCCTGTAAGCTATATCATGTGACCTAAAACACCGCAGTAGGCCTGAGCTTCAAAGATGTCTCTCAACAAATTTGGGAACTAAGCCTTTAACCAGGGGCTTTTGCAGAGCATTACAGATCACAAATAAACTCCAAAATTTTCATTCTCTTAAAGTTATCTAGAATTCTACCAAATGAGAGGCCTAACCCATTCTGCATTTGACAATTCTATAGTTCCAATTTCATAAACCTAAACAAATATAATACTGACAGAGTTTATAAAGATTTCTCTCATGGGATATTTTTCTCTTTTTTCCCAACTTCATCTTCATAGTTTTGTGCATACTTTCACTCATGTAGACTTCTTTTTGCCCTTCTCCTCCTCACTGGGACCCATCATTTGAGATCTAAAGTCCTACCTCTGAAGCAGACAATGGAAATTAATGTATGTTCGTCTGACATTTCCATAGGCCAAACGTGTCACATTGTTTAGATCATCAACTGAATATTTTCTTATTTCCTCAATTAAATTATAAGTATCTTGAATTTAAAAAATCATGTTATATTCTTTTTTAGCCCTAATTTGGCACCTTATTTTGTAAGTGAATAATAGAGTTAAAATTTTGTTCACAGATCTAACCCTCCTCCTTCTTAAAAAATGGCATGTGTCTTGGGCTTCCCTCTTAATAGACCCCACGGCCCTTCAGCTGCTTATACATTTAGTTGCCTCACAATCAGCTGGGCTTCGGTATTCTTGCTGCTGCCTTAAAGCCTGAATGGCTTACAATCAATGTGCTTAACAAACTAAAAAATACCCCCAAAATGCTTTAAACTGTAAGTGTGAATACACAAATACTAGACTTATATTTCTTTTTTTCCTTTGATATAGAAAAGACTTGTATTTCTTAGTCCTGTGCCTGTCTCATTCTCCATAATATCTCAGTGTTTACAGATGCTGCATGCCAAGTGAATTAAACATTCTTTCAATAAACTATGCAGAAACAAAAATGTTTCTAAAATAGACCATGAGCTCACAGTAACATTTGACTATATAACTTTTGTCAGTAGCTCTTACATGTTTTATCTTGGTATATTTTATATATTTTGTACCATGCAAACGATAACTAGTAATTATAGAAAATGTCCACTTGGAGGCCAGTGTGGTGGTTCAGAAAGTAATGCCTCTTGCACATGGAGTCAAGTCTCATGATCTCAGTTTCTTCCATGAGATCAAACCTGAGAAAACTGATTCCCATAAGTTGTCCTCTGATCTCCAACATGAGTGTGTACCCACACACATGCACAAATAAATTTAGCAGATTTTTAAACAAGAAAATGCCAATTTTAAAAAAAATCTTAAAAACACAAGTACTTACATTATACAATCCCCACATAACACTACAAACAGGTGAGACAAACAATTTATACACCACTATGTATGTCTACTATTCAACACCAAAATATCAAGCCAGCAAAAAAAGCATGCTAAAATTAATTTTGGTGGTTGCATTAATATCTATGTCAAAATTTACATAACCATTGATCTTTGGAATACTGTAATTACACACAATGATGTGATAAATATTATTTATTACAAATATATGTATTCAAACATATTCTTAGAATAAAACTAATTAGGTAAGTCTACTAATTTTAGAATGGACACACAGTTTTACAGTCTGTGATTGAAAAAGTTAAGTATGTGGACCTATAAATGTTTGTCTTATTGGGTTTGACACAATGGATCAATGGATAAAGTGCCTACTGGTCAAACCTTCTGATCTGAGTTTAGTCCCCATGACCAATGTAAAGGTGGATGGAGAAAACTGATGGTCAAAAGTTATCCTCTGTCTCCTGCATGTGTGTTCACATCTACACACACACACACACACCACACATGTGGCATGCAGGCACATACACACATATCTATGCACTAACAAAATATATTTAAATGTTTTCTCCATTATAGTATGTCTTTAAGAGATAGGAGTTATGTAAAACAAAAGGCAGTTTCTTGGCAACATAAGTACTTAAAGAGTCACAGAGATCGGAATATAATAAATAAATAACACTGTTGAAAAATACTCACATTCTTTTGGAGGGTAAGTTTCAGTTTGGAGAGGTTTGAATTCATAGTGTGGTATCTCATGCTTGAATATAGATGTAAGCACACCATCAAGCTCTTCCATGCTTTTCTGTTTTCAAATGCAAAAAGGAAATTTAAAATTAGCTGATAGGATGCTCATGTTCCAGTGGTTGGCCCCTCACCCATGCCCACAGAGGTAGCACTAACTGAACTTAGTGTGTCACAAAACAGAAAGTCACCACATAGGGAATGGTTCTAGAACTAAGCTCTGTGTTTAAGTATCTGAGGGAAAGAAATTGAAGGCGCCTTCTTTGTTCCACTGTTCACAAGCAGGGAGAAGAAAGTAAACCAGGCCAGCCATGTAGAGGGATTTGATAAAGAGTGTGTATCACACATTTTATAATTTCCTACTGTAGCTTATAATGAAGCAGGTGCATACACAAGTGGAGAAAATGCTTCAGAGTATCTTGCATATCACCATAGAACCTTCATCTGGCGATGGATGGAGGCAGAGACAGAGACCCACATTGGAGCACTGGACTCAGCTCCCAAGGTCCAAATGAGGAGCAGAAAGAGGGAGAACATGAGCAAGGAAGTCAGGACCACGAGGGGTGTGTCCACCCACTGAGACGGTGGGGCTGATCTAATGGGAGCTCACCAAGGCCAGCTGGACTGGGAGTGATGGAGCATGTGATCAAACTAGACACTCTGAATGTGGCTGGTAATGAAGGCTGACTGAGAAGCCAAGGACAATGGCACTGGGTTTTGATTCTACTGCATGGACTGACTTTGTGGGAGCCTGGTTTGTTTGGAGGCTCACCTTCCTAGGCCTAGATGGAGGGGGGAGGACCTTGGACTTCCCACGGGACAGGGAACCCTGACTGCTGTTAGGACTAGAGAGGGAGGGAGAGGTGGGGAGGGGAAGGGAAAAGGGAGGCGGGGAGGAGGTGGAAATTTTTAATAAATAAATAAATAAATAAGAAAATGCTTCAGAGTGGAAACTCCCAACCTGTGTGTCCTTTTGGTGGTGCTACCCTTTCAGAGGGCTCATCTAAGACCATTGGAATACATATATGGTATTTACAATATAATTCAGAACAGTACCAAAATTATAGTTATGAAGTAGCAACAAAACTAATTTTATGGTTGGGGGTCAGCACAACATGAGAAACTGTCTTAAATGGTCACCGCCTTAAGAAGGTTGAGATGCACTGCTTTACAAGGTTAGGAAAGGTTCTCTCTCTCTCTCTCTCTCTCTCTCTCTCTCTCTCTCTCTCCTTCCAAGAAGTTATTAAGTTAATTAAAAAAGATAGGTCTTTAGTAAAAACAATATGATATTTTCCCTAGTCAACTTAATTTTTCTAACTTTTGAATGAGTCATTTCTTAACATTGTGACCATGAATACTGAAGTAATCATTAAAACTCAAAGCAACTTAAGACTTGTAATTATTTTGTATTTGCTGCTGATTAGTTATGTGTGTAGTTACTGAGTCACCTTAACTGACATCCAAATAATATAGCAGAAAAATGTTTTTAACTCCTGACCCAGGTCTTCTTTGTGAGTCTTAGTAATGCATGACTGACAGCATCAGCAAAGGAGGAAATGTACCAAAATCAAAGTTGTACCATAATATAATAATGATATTAATAAAAAAAGACTAGAATATAGAAAACATGTCTATCATAACATCAACTAAAGCATAAAGAGACTGACTTTCTCATCTTCATCTATTGCCAATAATTTATAATTTATAAGAACTTATTGCTAAGTATAGGGCAAGATTTTAATAATTTAATTAAGTATAACACATATTCAAAGAACTGTTTTTTGAAAATGTCTTATAAAATGAAGACACAATTTCTTGTTTTTTGATTTTTATTAAGCTTTACATTTTTCTCTGCTCATTTCCCTGCCTCCCCTCTCCCCTTCAACCCTCTCCCGAGATCCCCATGTTCCCAATTTACTCAGAAGATCTTGTCTTTTTCTACTTCTCATGTAGATTAGATCTATGTAAGTCTCTCTTAGAGTCCTCATTGTTGTCTAAGTTCTCTGGGATTGTGATTTGTAGGCTGGTTTCCTTTGCTTTATGTTTAAAAACATGAGTGAGTATATGTGATAATTGTCTTTCTGTGTCTGGGTTACCTCACTCGAAATGATGTTTTCTAGCTCCATCCATTTGCCTGCAAAATTCAGGATGTCGTTATTTTTTTCTGCTGTGTAGCACTCTATTGGATGACACGATTTCTTAAAGGAGTTTTGGCGTTATTCCTTCGGCTTGTTTGGAGAACTCTTTTCCAGTCGTGTAACAGCATTGGTCTTGTCAATCCTGTTCCTTCAATCCTTTTCTTTGACCATTCTTTCAATTGCCTTTCACTTTCTACTTCTGTCAGAATCATCAATGTTTCATCCATACTCCACTAACTTCACAGAAGTCTGTGCCTGTAGGCTGGTGCTTATTGGAACTCAAGCTCTGATCGTTTGAATTTGGGAGAGAATCTTAATGTGCACATTTCATCGACCTTTTCGTTTATCTGTGCATCATATATCAAGCAGTCACATGCTCCGTGATTTTTATTTTTTTATTTTATTTTTATTTTTTTTATCATTTGTTACTTAATCTGGAACACATCAACCTGGCAAACACTACCCTTTCCTCTGTAGATCTCAGTTGGCATGTAGAATAGAGACAGGCAGAGGCAGAAAGTGTGAGAATGGTGGAGCCATAGGAGGCTGATTAGTGGGTTCACAAAAACACAGGCTGGAGAGGTAAGTTCTAGTATCCCCAGCACAGTGTTATGGTCACTGTGTAACCATAGCCTCCCACATACTATGTGACAGACAAGATAGGAGAAGCCTTTGGTGCAAATGAGGAATGATAAGGAAAGAATGTGATCACCTGTATTTTATCACTTTGTGGTGGACAAATGTTAGAATATCATATTGTGAAAAGTCATTGTGTATAATGATTCAATTTGAATTTAAAACGAAGATATGGAGCATCTCCACATATTTGAAACTCAAACCTCTTGAAAGGAGAGTTGTTATAATCTCGCAATTAACATTTCCGCTCTGAACATAAACTTGTGGGGCATTTCAGTCTGAAGAAAACACAGAGGGCAAGAGTTCTAGGTTCTTTATCTCCTAGGAAACCAGTGCTTGTCATTTTAGTAAGAAATTATAACTCAGATCCACGACCCATCCAAATCTCTCCTTTGCCACGTTGCTATCATCCAGCATGACGAGATACTATGGAGCCTTTCAGAAGAGAGCTAATATCTCAGGCATTTTTCAAAACAACATTTCCTTAATATTCACAGGAAAAGATAAGACAACTTTTGTATGGTCTCTAAGTCAATATGAAAGAGTAATAACTCAAGATCCACTATGATAGTGAAAGAAAGATGAGTTCTTTGTCTGCCTGGTACAGTACACTTTGGAGAGCTCATGATTGTATAAGCAGGTGGTTTCACACACGAACCACAGTGTATTTCCAGGGTGCAGTTTCACTTCTCCTGCTGTCTTCTTTGCATCCGTGCTCTATATTCTTTCACTACGTTATTCAAATAGTATCTGGGAGGAGGGTGTTGCTTGAGGTTTTCTCATACCCAGAAGTAATAAACACTTGCTGTGCCCCATATATGAGGAAGTAACTAGTGAAAAATGGTGGTTTTGCAAAAATGAGAAACAAAGCCCATCTTGTCATCAAGTGTCTTGGGTGGCAGGAAATGTTGGTGCGTGGGATGAATGAGAACACACGGCAACCTTAAAGAATAAAGAGTTAAGGATCATACAGTGAGGAAACACAAAGGAATGCTTTGGTAAGAGAGGGTTCTGGAAAAGTTTGGGAACTTGTATCATGTGCATTGAAATGCATTTGAGCGTCCCATCCTGTGAGCCATTAGAAGTTGGCTGCAAGTCAGCACTCTGGAAAACACTGGTGCTTCTCCCTGCATTTGCACCTTGAATCAACCAGGGCTGGTGAAAATAGGAAGGGTTGATTAAGACATAATAAGAAGCCTGAGCTAATGGGCCAAGCAGTGTTGCAATTAATATAACTTTTGCATGATTATTTTGGGTCTGGGCGGCTGGGAAATGAGCAAGCACCATCCGCCTACAAAGGTTTGCATCAATATTTTGAGACAGACAGAGTCTAATGGAAAATTTAGAATATTACTAGAAGGAGAAGGGGTTTCCATTCTCACTCTAAGAAAATCTTCAAAGGAAACAGCCCCAACCACAAAATTAACTGGGTTAAGAAATTACCCTTTAAGGAAACTACTAGGAAACAGAAGCACAGTGGAGCAAATTCTCACAGTGTGAGTTTTTCAAGCCAGATCCTTTCCTTACTCCAGCCCCACTGGCTTTTTTATTGTCAAGGTTTCCATCACTGACACAAGATGCCTGAGAGAAATGACAGGGGTGAAAAGTCAATGTTGGTTCATATTTTCAGAGGTTTCAGTTCATAGTCAGCTGGCAGAACCACCATGCAAGAAATGTATGACTGAAACTGTTTCCCTTGGAAGATGGCAAGTAGGGAGAGAGAGTAAAGCAAGGTCTAAGGACAAGCTCTGTCCTTAAGGGCATAGCTCCATGACATACTCTTTCCAGCTGACCCACACCTCCTAATGTTTCCATTGTCTTCCAATCTTAACATCAGCTGGAGAAATACTTTTTTTTCAGTGAGATAATCTTTCCTTTTTTTCTTTTTTTAATTGATTTTTATTGAGCTCTACATGTTTCTCTGCTTCCCTTCCTGCCTCCCCCATCCTCTTCTTCAACCCTCTCCCAAGGTTCCCATGCTCCCAATTTACTCAGGAGATCTTGTCTTACTTTTTAACCAATTCATAGCAATGTCTTATTGTCTTAAGTATTTGCTAAATGGATGTAGTATATTTAAACAAACCATGAAGATATACTGCTGTCCATGAATCAGTGCCTCTCTCAGCCCTTGTCAAAGAAACTTCTTTTTGAAGTAGATGACAACTAAGACAGTGATGTCCTACTGGTCAAGGTCCATAGAATAAGAGACGGTAGAGTACTTGACCTTAAATGGGATGTCCCATTTAAGCCTCAGAGTCTTTACAGAGGAGCGAGAAGAAAGTCTGTAAGAATGAGAGGTGAAGGAAGATGACACACAGGTTGGCAGCTTACACACCAACTCACAGTGATTGTAACAGCTTGCACAAGACTTGTTCAAATTCAAGCCAGAAAGAATCCCAGTACGAGGGTGCACATCGATTTCTACGCCAGTTTTCATGCTATTGGTGTTTGATAGCTGCTGGGAGAGAGGAGGTCAGTTTTCTTAAATGGTGTGGTCCTTGGTAGGTAGCCTACTCTCCAGGGCAAGCCCCAAACCAGTGAACTAGAGAGAATTAAAAAGACAGGGAAAAGGGATATAGAGTTGTGTGAGAGGAGAAGTAGGTGATTTGGGATGATTGGGGGGGGGGGGAGATGAATATGATCAAAATACATTGTATGAAATTCACAAAGAACTAATAAAAGTATTATTAAGTATCTATTTGTGGGTAGCAAGTCATAGATTAAATAATATACACAACTTAACAAAAAGAAATTAAGTATACTGAGTGGGAAGCTGAAAATAATATTTATTGTGTGTAAAGTAAAATATACAGTGTGATAAAAATATGCAATGCAAAGATGCCTTTTACTGAAAAGAAGTATAACTAAGAGGAATTATTTCTTATATTTCAAGAATTTTTTTTGAATTGGTCTAGAGGGATGGCTCAACAGATAATACACTTGCTGCTTTTCCAGAGCTACCAAGTTCAGTTCCTAGCACCCATGTTGGGCAGCTCAAAAACACCTACAACTCCAGTTCCATGGATTCTGATGCCCTCTTCTGGCTTCTGCAGACACCCACATGCATATGGAAGATACTTACATAGATATATACACATGAACATGAACACAATAATTTAGAATATTTTTAAATAACAGGCTGATCATATTGTGATCAATAATTATTATATTCTTTTAGCATTTGACCTAGTTTCACTTATGAATCTTACTCAGTGATTTCTCTAAAAAGCTAACATTTTTGCTGTCCCCAAGACACCTGTGTAAATGAGAAGACAGTCTCACAGGTTTTAATTAATCTCAGTTAAAGATAAATTAAAGCATTTCTATCTACAGTGTTTGAATATTAATTACCCTACCCAACTAAGTTTAGAAGTTTTTTATTTGAATATCTTACGCTCCCTGTTTTAAGTGATGCACTAGAAATTGAACCTTTATTAGTCTCTGTACTGGGATTTTAGGATTTATCACCCCTGAAAGAAAGAAAGACGACTGATTCATTAAGTTCATTGAGGTAAAGTGTTCTAAAGCCTAATGGACATCATTAAAACAAAGCAAAATCAGTTCTTTCATGAACTCTTTATTAAAATTCATACAATGGCTTTATTACTCTGTGTGCAATAGCTTTTAAATGACAAATAAAGTCTCTTATTGTGAGTTCTAAGAAAACTGAAACATAAAACCCACCAATTTCTCATTAATTATTCTGTCCTCAAATTCACGCTGGGTTTAGACTATATATACCCAGTAGCACTTAAGTGGTCATAGAAGGATCTTGTTAATAATTTCATGGTTGTTGAAATCATATCTGCCATAAGCCATGTAGGGAAGCTCCCAGCAAATTTTACAGTGTGCCATTTCAGGCAAGCAGGCCGGGTGAATTCACACTTGCTGGTATGTTTCCTTACAAAGAAACAACCATTATGGGGGGGATGATTACAATGTAGGTTGGCTTTTGAATAGAGGTGTTCAGTGGACTTTTTGTGAAGTAGACAAATTATTGGGTTTAGTGACAGTGTCAGAAGAAAGGACTAGTCACTGTGGTGTTCTATATGAACTCAGAGAAGCAGTTTGTACACAACTGGCCATAAAACCACTAATAAAATGTCTCTGTAGTTCCTCCTCCATCAAATAAAGGATCTTTCTTATGGCGTGACAGTGATTTACAGAATATTTGTGCAGATTTAGAGGAACCCCAGTTCTCATGCAGTGTCTGCGTTAGGGAAAGAACCCAAAGCATGGCTACTCTTTCTAGCCTCTGATGGAACACTTAGGAGGGCCTAGGGCCTAGTGTACTTGCCCAGAGCCCAGTGCATTTGCCTTAATCCCCAAGTACTTCTTGGGCCCTGAGGTCAGCAACAAAATTTCCACATCTCTCCCTATCCAGGTACATTAACCCTAGCTCTCATGTGTCTCTTTGCCAGCCAGAAGTGTGTTGTCCATAGGCTAGACTGCTTTGGCCTCTGCAGACTTGGTGCACACGCTGATCCTGATAGCAAGGCAAGATCTAGTCTGTCTCTCCTTTACAGGCCCCTGGATTTGGCAAAGAGGGAAACCAAGGCATAGCAATACTGCTTTTCACCTCTCATTTCAGACTCGAGGCAAAGATAAACAGTTTTTCCTAATATCCTAAAATCTGTGCATTTACTTCAAGCTACAGAGAAAATCATGACTTGTACATTATTTTATTCTGAAAATGTATCTAGGAGTCATACATTTAACTTTCACTATATACAAATTGTCCCCTGGCACGAAGCCCATGTATTTGGAGACTATTTTACTTCTACACTAGCTGTAAATGGAGAATGTTGACTATCCCCTTTATTGAGTTTTAGTTATGAGCAGAATTTTTAGTAGAAGACAAGGTAGACTTGTCACAAGGAAATAAAGCAATCTGTATTTCAAGCTATTAAATTTGCACTTGTTTTGCCACTGCAATATAGACTTTATGTCAAATGTCCTCAGACTTCCCAGGCTGACAAATGGTATTTCACTCTCTGTCCTTTTCTAAGGCATTTGCCTTTCCCATTGTTCTAAAGTGTGACACTCATAAAGAAGAAAGTGTCACGCAAAATAAGTCAAGACTCCAGTGCCTGTCATACAAGGTTCAGGGCAGCCTGTCAACATCACTATCATTGACAGTTCTGTTATAGATCTCAAAGGGTGAGCCTGAAGATCACATCATTCGACTGAGTCAACTCTCCCTTTCCTTACACGCTTCTCTGCCATTTTCTCCCAGTAAGACAATTAAGTGAAGTTTATAATTCCAATTGTCAAATAGCAAAAGCCATTTTATACTTTTCATGTAACATCAAGTCTTATTATTTTTAGTTTACATTAAAATATTTATTTTATTCTGAAACTCAATGGAATAAACATGTAAGTCATACATTTTCATATTGAGCAAGATTTCTTCCTATTAAAAGTAGGACAACTTTAAAAATGCAGAAACCAGACTAATGGCTTAAGCTCCTTAAAGATTCCTTAAAATTTTTCCATATGCCTATCACTAATAGGAAAATGTTCCACACATGAGGTCTTCAAGGAGGCCAGTAATACATCATGAAATACCCATCCTGTGTCTAGAACACCTAAAGAACATGGATGATTCTATCATTTTTACTGTCAACTAACAATGAGAATTAAAACTAAGAATTATGTAAAAACATCCATGTGAAAGTAGATACAAGATTCACCCCAGGTTTTCATTGAGTGGTAGCTAGGTTTGTCTGACATAGACTTACAAGTACATGACCTGATTTTCTTTTGTTTTGTGTTGTTCACATCTAAGTAAAGAAATTCATTTCTCAAGGGGTGCTCTTTGACTCTCTCTCTTCTATTATCTATCTTCTCCATAACAGCTTTAAATTGAGCCTGTCCTGATAGCCATGCTGTAATGGACAAGCTGTCACTGGTTGGAATTGTCTGGAAGGACTTGATTGAGGCAAAGTAATTTGTCTGTGTCTCTGCCCCTCAGAGGCTGACTTCTTCCCTTACTGTGGATCATCCATTGAGTCACATTCTATCAAATCTAACACCAAGCCAAGAACCCTCCCTTTCTGCATTAGTTCTTTAGCATATACTGTGATTAACTGGTTAGAAAGATCAACCATATCTTACCTGGCATATACTCTTGTCTGTGTCTGACATTCTAAATGGACTTTCTGTGGCATTGGCTGCTGAGTAGTATTTAATCTCTGTTGTGGCCTTGATGATTCCATCACAATGGATCTTGACAGTGACTGAACCAGCTGGAAAATCTTACAAAACATGAACAAATGTTAAATTAAGCACCAAGTATAATGCACACAACATACCATTATGATGTAAGCTACAAAGGAAGCCTTTATGGAGTTCTAGCATTTAACTTCCAGCACTTAAATTTTTTTCTATATTTCATGCTTTAGAAACAAAAAATGATGTTTAGATTAAATAAACTTTGGAAAACATATGCAAAAATTATAGAAAAAACAAAGTACTAAATTATTTCTCCCTACTGATACACCTTTTTTTGCAATGATATAAATCATCTTTAGAGAATTCCTTAGAATTTAGCAAAGAGAATCTATTCTTTAAACTTGCATATTAGTTTCAATTTTATGAAGGAAAAAAATCCATTAATTATATGCAAGTTTCTAGAAATTTTGTGTAGAAGGAAGATTTATTGACATTGCAGAATAATTTGCAGTTGATTAGAACAAGAAATCCTGGGTGGTGTGGGAGATCTTTCTGTCTGTGTGTTGCTTTTATTGGTTAATGAATAAAGAACTGCTTTGAGCCTATGGTAGGGAAGAACAGAACTAGGCAGGGAAAGTTAGACTGTATGCTGGAAGAAAGAAAGGCAGAATCAGAGAGAAGCTATGGATCTGCTACCTGAGACAGATGCTGGGAACATTACCCAGTAAGCCACTGCCATGTGATGATATATAGATTAATAGAAATGGGTTAAATTAATATGTAAGAGTCGACAATAAGAAGCTAGAGCTAATGGGTCAAGCAGTGATTTAAATAATATGGTTTCTATGTGATTATTTTGGGTCTAACCTATTCGGGCAGCTGGGAACAAACAAGCGGCCCTCCTCCAACAGATTGGCACCCAACATGGGCCATGAACCCACAATTCTGCTGATACAGATTGGCATGCCAACATGGTGGCCTAAATCTATGTAAAACTTGAGAGGGCTTGGAAAATGAAATTCTAGACACACACAAAAAACAAAGTTTTGCTGCATCTATTTTTCAGCTGGCAGCTCGCTGCAGCTCATTTTAGAGAGGTTTTTCTTATTCAGCCATAGCACAAAAAAATCTGCATTCTTTTGAAATGCCGGTGTTCTGGGTTATGATGCCAACTTGAACTCTGACATTTTCAGGCAAGGGGTCCAGCTACAGAGCATTTGAGTGGGGTTTGTGAGCAGACTGCTTTAGCTTGCTTAATGGCGACATGGACTGGCTGTGTGCTTGGGAATGGGGCTGTGTCTATAGCTCCTAGAGGCCTAAGCAGCTGCACCATGCTGTTCTGTGTGGGCATGCAGAAAGTACCATATATACCATAGTAATGGTGCAGATTTAGTTTTAAGAAGTACTTAGCATTTGAAAAAGTGCTCCTGAACAGTAAAAGATTACAGATATGGAATAAAGACAAATCTAGATGAGTCATAGTGTTGGATAAATGTATTTAGGCTTGGAGGGAGAAGAAAATGAGTATAGAGAATCATAAAATAAAGTTAATGCTTTTTTAAAAAAGTGTAAAGTCTTTAAAGAAACAGAGTACAGATAGTCATAGATTAAAGTAGTAAAGAAAAATAAGCCATGTAAAAATGGAAAATTCACAGAGACTATGTATTTTATTGTGTTATCGTTGAAGTTTTGACTGTGAATGAGCTAAGTATAGAGAGACATTTCATTGTATGGGCTGCTAAGCTAAACCAGCATGTATATTATAAAGATATCATAACTTCCAAATTTGGGTCTAAAGATATGTTGCTTTGGAAAAGAGGCTCTTCTCTTCTTTCCACAGAGGATGAGAACCTGTGGATTGCTTCTAAACTGTTGTGGTTTCATGGAACAAGACCCCCCGAAGGTCACCATGAACATCTCCAAAAATTACTATGTCCAACAATCAGCAGGAAGCAGTATGGAGAAAACTATGCTCATATTCCCATATATTGTCTATAAATATTTGTTTACATTTAAAGAGGGTTATGGCATAGATATAAATAATTTGCACTGGTATGGATCTTGGTTTATTGATATAAATTTAAGGTCAATTTTTTATATGAATATTTATTTCTGATCTTGATTAAAGTATTGTGTTTGTATAGCTCATTTAAAAATGTAATGTATAATTTAAAAATATTAGTTAATAGATATTCATCTATAATAGCCAAGCTTCTAGTTATATTTATTAGATTTTCTAATTGTATAAAGATATGTTTCAGTTAGATAGGTATTCTTCAGATCTTTTAGAGACCTTCAGAATATGACATTTAAAATGTTTTAATAACTTAGTACTTTTCATGACAATGAGACACATTTGCTTCTGGCAGCAAAAGCTACTTCAAGAGGAAGATGGGCATAGGAGAGGCTCCTTATAGAGTTGATTAGCCATTTGGGCAAAAAACTGCTCTTCCCTGGACTGCTGAACTGGACATACAGGACCCTCAGAGAAATAAATGTTGAACTTGCCTAAAGGTAAGACAATCCTCTGATTTCCTGCTACATAAAAGAGTCTACCAGATGTTCTGAAGGAAGCAGAAGAAAGTGACTGACAAACTGCCAATATAGGTGGAAGTGTCTTTTAAATTCCCTGCTTCATGGAAAAGTCTGTTAGATACTATGGGTCAGTAGGCTGAAGATGGATGCCCCAACGGTACGGAAAAACTTTAGGTGACTGTCCATGCAGTGAGGTGTCTCTGTCAATTCTAGAGATTTGGAAGTTGCTTACAATGTAATTCCTGTTTACTTAGGTAATATATTCTTCTGAAGTCTTTGATGGAGTTGAAGAATTTATAGTAATAGCTACAGTTTTCTTTAGTTATGATAAAAGATAAAGTTGATATAAATACTGTGACTATAATCCTTGATTGATAACTGTTTGTTATATGTAATTTTACTATGTTAAAGTCTTCCCTTTTGTTTAAACAGAAAAGGGGAAATGGTGTGGGAGGTTCTGTCTGTATTGCTTTTATTGGTGAATGAATAAAGAATTGCTTTGAGCTTATGGCAGGGAAGAACAGAACCAGGCAGGGAAAGCTAGGCTGTATGCTGGGAGAAAGAAGGGCAGAGTCAGAGAGAAGCTATGGATCTGCCGCCTGAGACAGATGATGCGAATATTACCTGGTAAGCCACTGGTAATATTACCTGGTAATATTGATCTGACAATATACAGATCAATAGAAATGGGTTAAATTAATATGTAAGAGTTAATGGGCCAAGTAGTGATTTAAATAATGTGGTTTCTGTATGATTATTTCAGGTTTAAGCTATCTGGATTGCTGAAAATCAACAAGTGATCCCCTACTTCAACACCTGCAGAAAACAAGTACATCCAGAATCTTCACAATGACCTCTGTGTACTCTATTCATCTATTCATCCACTTACCAATTGACCCATCTATCCATCTACCCATCCACCCATTCATCCACCTATCCACCCATCCACCCATCCATCCACCTATCCGTCCATCCATCCAAAGTTTTTATGTAAACAAGTTGTTCAAATTGACTGACAAAGCATACATCAAATTCTACTGTAATATACCAACAAAGTTAAAGTTTTATAAAAAATTGAGGACTTCCATTTAAAAATAAAAAAACAGTAATTGCAATTAAAAAGTAATGCTGTAGTGTAAAAAATATAAGCAAAATTTATCATTGGATTTATTTGAAGAACAAATTTTTAACAACTTCTCACTCTGCCATTGAGATATTTCTCAAATTCTTTTAAAAACGTTGTTTAAAATGTGAGGTTCAGAAGAAGTTTAATCAAAAGACCAACATCCTTGAACAGCTGTGAATGTTTCATTTCTTAAAGGTTAGACACTAATTTGAGTCATCTCCTGACGTTAATACACCTCTTATCATTTTCTCAGGTAAGTTCAAAGTCAAAAATAAAGGGGGGGAGGATCTTAAACTGAACAAGATCATGGAGCTAAAATTTCTCTCTTCACATTCTTGACAAGATATGTAACACATTTTGTGAAATGATATGCGCTGAAAAGTGCCACTGTCTTACCAAAAGAGATAGACATCCAGTAGAGTAAGAGAAATCAGAACAGAGTGCCAAGGCTGCAATATGCATCGCATGGGCTAACGTGGTGATTGTGTGGTGAACAGGAAGTTGGTGTTGACAGAGCCAAACAAAATCTATTTCAGTAGATTTTGTATAATCCTCAGTTTAAAACATGTTGTTTTCCAGAATTATGATACCTAGAGATCATAAACTAAACAGAAATTCACTGAATCAGTTGCTTCTTTCCCACGCAAGTTCAGCATAGTAAACCGTGTGTCCTAAAAGACTTTTCAAGTTCCTTTCATGATATATGAAGTTATAATTTATATTATCTAGAGCACAGTTTCATCATTAATAAAGTGAGTCAATATTTTTGTTCATGTATTACACATTTCTTTCAACTTTTAATTAGATTTCCCCAAGCTGTTAGGTTTTTCTGCTCATGGTATTGCTGGTACCAAAGGAATACTCTGTTTCTTCTGTGTAGAAATTAGTTAATATCTCTTGTTGAAAGTTTTGGCATGCTTTTAAGGCTTAGCTATAAGCTGGAACTATTATAATTTCAAATTGCTTTAACCATAGATGCCATTAGGAAAAATTTGTTTCCTGGGAAAATCTAGCCATTATAGAAACATAGAAACAAGAAATTATTGAGCTGACAGTATGGAGGAGTCTCCAAACTAGTTGGCATTCTCTCAGGTAAAAAATTCAGACTGTAGCTATTCTGACAGGTGTAAGATGGTATCTCAAAGTGGTTTTGATTTGCATTTCCCTGATCGCTAAGGAGGTTGAGCATGACCTTAAGTGTCTTCTGGCCATTCGAAGTTCATCTGTTGTGAATTCTCTGTTCAGTTCAGTACCCCATTTTTTAATTGGGTTAATTAGAGTTTTAGTGTCTAGTTTCTTGAATTCTTTGTATATTTTGGAGATCAGACCTTTGTCTGATGAGGGGTTGGTGAAAATCTTCTCCCAGTCAGAAGGCAGCCTTTTTGTCTTACTGACAGTGTCCTTTGCTTTACAGAAGCTTCTCAGTTTCAGTAGGTCCCATTTATTCATTGTTTCTCTTATTGTCTCTGGACTTAACTCCCTAGGTCCAAACGAGAAGCAGAAGGAAAGAGAACGTGAGTAAGGAAGGCAAGATGAGAGGGAACCTTCATCCGACGATGGATGGCGATACAGACGGAGACCCACATTGGAGCACCGGAGGTCCAAATGAGGAGCAGAAGGAGGAAGAACATGAAAAAAGAAATCAGGACGGGAGGGGTCCGATCACCCACTGATACAAGGGGACGGATCTAATGAGAGTTCACCAAGGCCAGTTGACTGGGACTGAGCGAGCACGTGATCCAGCCAGATTCTCTGAATGAGGCCGGATTCTCTGAATGTGGCTGGCCCAGAGTCTTTCTGAAAAGCCATTGACAATGACACTGGGACTTGTTTCCTCTGCATATACTGGATTTTTGGGATCCAGTCTGTTTGGATGCTCACCTTCCTGGACCTGGAGGGAGGGGGGAGGAGCTTGAAATACCCACAGGGTGGGAGACCCTGACTGCTTTTGGGGATGGAGAGGGAGGAGGGGAGGGAAGAGGGAAGGTGTTGGGAGGAGGGGCGGAAATAGAGACTTTTGTATTTTAATAAACTTTGAGAAAAAAAATAAAGGTGTGTGTCATTGTGGCAAAAAAAAAAAAAAATTCAGACTGCTGGGTTGAGGTGGGTCAAAGGTAAAGAGATGTTACCTAGGAAAAGATTATGAGAATTTCCTTCCTTCCCAAGATCACTGACTATGGAATTTGATTTTTCTCTGCTTGTTACTAGCTGAAGACATGCAGTAGTGCTATTATCAGTACAGATTCCGTGAATGAGTGACACTTTGTGGTACAAGACTTTCTCTAGATGGCTTGTTTCACTTAATGTTTGTCATTTTTCATTCAAGTTGCTCCAAACACAAGATTTCATCTTTTATATGGTTGAATAATATTCATACAAATACACAAATAAATTTCACATTTTCTTTACCCATTTCTCTATTAATGAGCAGAGGTGATATCACTTCTTGGCTATTGTGAACCATTCTGCAATCAATATGAGAGTGTAGGTTCCTCCTTCATTGAATTATTTTTCCCACTGTGGTTTGCCCTGGTCAGAATTGTGGGGTCAGATGGCAATGCTATTTTCAGTTTTCTAAGAAGGCATTCTGTCCATATGTTATTAGATTCTCAAAAACAGTTTAGGAATTCTCTTCTCCATTCCTTCTTAGGATTTGCTACTCTTTGCTTTGTTGACAATAGCCATTCTGATGTAGAGAGATGGTGAGCCGTGATGGTGTGATTGATTGAATTACTCAATGATTATGGATCGTGAGCATTTTGGCACTTATTTGTTGATTATTTCTTCCTTTAAGTGTATATTTATATGATTTCCTGTTCCTTTTTAATTGAAAATTTATACTACATGTTTTACCACACTTTTCTCTTTCCCATCTTCTTACATCTCTTCTCTACCTCCCCATTCATCCAACTCTATGCCTCCTTTCTCTCTCTTTAGGAAACAAACAGTAAAATAATAAAAAAAAAGCATACCAAAATTAAAAAAAAAACAGAAAAAAAGCACAAGAAATAATAGGATTACTCTATTGCTATTGAAGTTCAATATATATATATATATACATACTAGATATTAATCTCTTATCAAGTAGTTTGTAAATAGCTTTCCCATTCTTTAGCTGGCTCTGAACTCTTGTCAATCATTTCCTTTGCTGTGTTGAAGATTTTTTAAAATAGATTTTCATTTGTCTATTTTTGCAGTTCTTGATTATACTTTGAAGTATCTTAAAATAGTAAAAAAAAAAAACCTTAGCCCATCTCAATGCATTGAAATGTTTTTTAAAATATGTTCTTCTAATTGTTTCAGGAACTTTTGTTACTTTATCCTTTCTACTACTCCTGACATTAGGTATATGAAGCAAAAAAATATTCTTAATATGTATACTTTTATTTGGCATCTTGATCTGCTACTTGGAAAATACTATTTAAGTACTTCTTAATTTGCAATATTGATGTTTCCGTATTGATTTATTTTAACTAGATTTAGTTTGAACTCTGAAACTAATTACTTAGAAAGTGTTATTCATTACATCATTTAAGAATATTACATAGGGTAATAGGGGCTAGGAGCAAGATGGCAAAAGAGAATGGAGGGGTTCTTCCCTTCGCATTTCTGCATGTTTTTCCACAATAGAAAGCAGCACCTGGATATTTGTTAAGTTATTGGAATAAAGGTCTCACTTCTGAGAACCCAACCCCAGCGCCAGATGAGTGAGGATGCACAGAGGGGTTACTCATGTGAACAAACAATGCAGGCTTGTAAATATAAATGAACTGTATAATGGACTCACAAAGTACCTAATATACTTCGCAATTATAAATGTTCCTTATTTTCATATTTATAGAATTAAATATCTTTTTGTATAAAAATATTTACAAGGTTCATAATTTTTAAGCTTTTCCGCAATAACTTTATCCTCTGATTTTAGAAATAATGCCATAAAACAAAAGCAAGCAGGCTTACATTTTTAAAAATTATTATTTTCTCAAAATAATTTCACAAAATTATTTTAAATTTTATGTGTGGGGGTGAGTATGTACATGTGCGTGCAGGTACCAGTACATCTGTGTGTGGGTATGTGCATGGGGAAGCCAGAAAAGGGTCTCAGATCCCCAGAAGCTGGAAGCATAAGCAGTTATGTGTTGCTCAAACTGGGTGTTGGGAATCTAATACAGGTTAGTATGGAGCTAGTACATATGAGCAGTCAAATGATTAGCTTCACAAGTGAGAAAAGGAACTGATGAGAAGAATATCTGAGAAATGGTACTAGAAAATATCAAAAAAGAATTATGCTTTATGAAGCAGTCAAAACTTCCCCAAGGCTTGGAATGGAGACACAAGAAAAGAAAACATAAAGTTCTTTAATAAAAATTAAAAACCTGTGAATCCTCATGCTGCATAAAGGAAATAATTTTACTTCCATATTTAGTAGCTACTATATATCCAAGTACATTCCACTGACACATTTAATGGTGCTTGATGTTACTGGCAGCCGTTTCCCTAAATGGTATACAAACCAAGTTCTAAGGATTTACACAACCTTACTTTTGCAAATCAGATTAATAATAACAATGTTGAACATGGGAGAATTAACACAGGAAGCACCTGCTGAGCAAACTCAAGTTTCTGAGGGAAGTGAAACCATTTATCATAAATCACAGGAAAGGAACTCAGGGAGAGGTTTATTATTATTAAAACCCCCAATTTCTCACCTGCAGCTCTCAGACACCAGACGTTCCTGCTCCAGTGTGTTGGCCGTGCTCTGAGGCGCTTGCTGTTCGATATAAATTCAACTTCCAGAATTTCACCAATTAACTCGTCTTTCAACAGGATGAATATCTCACCAGGATTCTGTTAAAGAAGAAAAAATGCAATAAGTTAAGCATGCCAAAGAGTTTTCCTTCACCAAAGTGCCCACCACATTTGTTAGTGGTCAAAAATCTTAGGTTGTTGATAAATAAATTTATCTTGTTTGTATTTTTAATCATGTTAATATACAAATGTATGAATGCATGCTCATTAAATCTTGCTTTTATTACTTTGATATCTCTCACATTCTCATTCAGCCTCGAACAATGCTTTGCAGCTTAGAAACAGTGAGAACACAGTTTCTTTCTTTATCTTTGCCCTTCCTTGCTCATAGCCTCCCATCCCAGGGTATCAGAACCATTTTACAGACTAACAGATTGGCAGTAAGTAAGCCAGTAAACATTTTCTTTTCCAAGTACATTACCTTGACCTTGACTTTTTCCTCTGTGTGTAAAAACCTAACTAATCTAACTTTAAAACTCTTACAATTAAAATAAAATAAAAAATATTAATGTTGTATAGTTCCACAGTTTGTGCAGTAGAATTTCTCTTGGGTTTTCTTTGCTAATACAAGGGCCTGTTAAGGTTTCTGGGACGATTAAAGTTATGCAACTAAAAATTTCAATACTTAATTATATTGGAGAAGTTTGATCTGTGAACAGAAGTAAAAATATGAAGACCACATTTTGGGAACCAAATCCAGAAAAAATGTTAACCTGGAAGAGTGTATTTAATTGGGAATTGGTAAACGTTATTGGATATCAACTTTATGGAAATTATGATGAACACTTTTTATATAAGAATATTTCTTTGAACCCTAACTGAAAAAGACAGACACACATATATATGCATACACACACGCCCACACGCCCACATGCACACACATCCTGCAGAACTGAAATAGAGAATACAACTGGTGCTCATCATAAGTAGCAAAATTTAGGATTATATTTATAAAATTGTTAGGAATTATTTAACTTTCAGATCCTCATTATTCCTTATATTATGCTACTTTACTCTGTGAAAAGTAAAATATTTTTTGACTGTCTCAGATATCATCTCTCAAAGGCTGTTGTCATAGTAAATTTCACCCTGTGAGTAAATAAGGAACTCGCTGATACACTTTCATGATATTATATTTATTAAAAAGTCATTAATTCAATTTTTTCTTACTCTACTGTTGTTGTTTTAAGCATAATCACATACTATGACTGATATATTAATGCATTATACGAAAGCCTTTCTAGAAGTGGTAAGTCAATGATGCCAATCACTTATCAGATGCTCAGGTCCACTTCAGCCATTGTCCACCACAGTCACATCCCAAGTACTTATTCAAGTTTGATTTAAATTTCTCTTTACCAACGAAACACAGAGAACAGATCCTACCCTCAAGGGAATCTCTGTTCCTGACCATGGAACACATACCATGTCAGCAGATAAGGAACAAGATCCCATGGTCTCATCTGTTCTTCACCACACATGTGTCACCTCAACCCCAATGACTTCACATTTCATTTTGGGTCTGGCCCTCAGTTGCCTTTAGTAGCCTTCTAATAGTTCTTCAGAGTTCTTTTCAATGCTTAAGTCACCACCTGTTTGACTCTATGGAATTGGTAAGCCAAGTGTGCTCAGCAAACATTTCATTCTCCAAGGCATCTCATTCTCACTCATGAGCAGCCCCAGATATTCTGCTTCTCACGCACCAGACTCCCTCCTTAATAGAGGGCAGGACTCTACCTTTCAACCCTTTCCAGCAAAAATTCCAAACAGAAGACACTCAATAAAGTACCTGCATCTTCATTTGTACACTGGGCTGGTTTCTTGGGTCCAAGACCTGCACAGTCATACGGGGCTTACAAAACCCTGCCTTTGCTTTAATTTTCTGCTGCCATTGCCTTGAAATGCTAACCAATTTGAACCCAGGGGCTTTGCATTTTCATTTTGCACTGCAAGTTAAGTTGCTGGTTCTATTTAAAGGTGATTGTTGCCTTGCTGATAAATTCTTTCTTCCTTTGCTCCCTCATAGCCAGGGTTTCCTCTAACTTTAGCCTTCGAGAACTGTAGAACTTTCAAATGAGCACTAATCCAGTCACATCCACATCTGCGTTCAGCCATGACCAAGCCAAGTATTCCATTCTCCATTAGTTCTCCCCATCCAAAACACTCTGAAAACATTTAAGAATCTTTATATCATTTTCATATCTTCTGAGCCTTATGGACATAGCAGATTCTCTGATGTTCTAAAAATTAAAATGGAGTACTTCTATAAAAACATGAGCACATTGAATTGAATCTGCTAGGCTGAATTCCTTACCATCCTCTGTGTGAGGATTTTCATACTCCTGCATCTCTCTGCAATAAAAATCGCAAACCAGGAGAGATCTGTCTTTAGTAGCATGGGTAAACTTGACTCAAGAAAAAAGCTGTAGGATATTAAAATTTTATAAACGTGTGTTTATCAGTTATGAAGTTGCCATCTTGTGCTTCACTGTTTGACCCCTTTGTTTGTGCCCCTTTACTGGGGATCTAAGAATTAATAGAGATAATTGTTTATGATCATTACTACTTATACACTTTAAAGGTTTCTATACTGTTCACAAAACTTGAGATTTCAACAAAAAGAGTGCAATCTGGTCTATAATAAAAACACATATGTAGTGAGGTTTTGTTTGCATCTTTGGGCTGAAATTTAAACACGGGTAGAAGATTGAGGTCCCATTAGGTCACTGATAGTTCACTAAGGCTTTTGCACGGTGACCTATGGCATTTTCACATATTCATAACTATATTTTATAGATACCAGCTCAAGAAAGATAGGTTCATGGGACTAGTAAACTTGCTGCATCAGCAACTTGCTCTGTAGTTGACACTGGTTGTCTCATAATAGCAGAGAAAGAATTGGAAAAAGGAAGGATGGTGATAAATGAAGGATCTTCCACGCAGATGAAACAAGACGAAGAAAAGAATCTTAACCAGTCTTGAAGTGGTGATTCTGCAGAGAAAATGTTGACATCCTCACCAAATTCTTGATGGGGACTCAGAAATAGCAGGAGCAGGGAGGATTCGGAGCACAGACTGCAGTCCTGAAAGCTTTGTGTAAAATGTGTGAAAGGCGTTGGTGGACTCATGACTAAAGATCAGGCACTTTTCACAGAGTGAATACAGGACAACTTCGCCAGTGTCACGGAAGCCACAGGAAGGAGCAGGAGTTTTTGGTGCCACCACTAGGGAGAAGTGACGGTGACTCATTTGTTGCAGGTGTACACTCGGAGATAGGATTTAATGCTACCGGGATTGCTACTTTAGCTGAGATAAGCTGCTGTCATGAGTATGCTTGTGCGTTATGTAACGCTCGCAGCTTCCAGGTTTCTATCAACTAGATGTCAGCAGCAACTGTGATAATCAGAGATGCTTGCAGATTTGCCTACATCTCCCCACATAAAAGCCTCTCCCAGTGGAGAACCACTACTCCATGGGAATTTGTCATAGACTTTTATAGAGTCACATCTTTGAAGCAGTGGACAGCGTACATGAGAGATGCTGGTCTAGGTGCTGTTTTTGAGCTAATGCCTTCCATGTAGATTTTATCAGGGAGGTAAGTAAGCATCGGTGCTCTATTTGAACAACGGATCCCTTTGGCAGACCCAACTAACGCCATATTGTTTATGTCTTGTCACTCCACAATACAAAATCCAGTGTCCAGAAAATAAAGAAGTAAAAGAGGCTTAGAATACTAAAATAGAAGAAAGTATGCAATCCCACAGAAACTTAAAGAAGGGCTTTTTGATGAAACAGGTTTAAGCTAACAAAGATTACACCTATATAATTATTTCTCAAACAGTTAAGGAATAACCCTTATAAATAGAATAATGGGTCAATGTCAACCAGAAAAATAATATTTTTTGACCGTTTTTGAAGCAGTGTAAGATTGTTAAGGCTTAGAAAATTGATAATCTGTGGAAAGAAAGGTGCTGGGAAAGGTCACTCGGCAGAAGGACCCAGCTCATCGGATCACAGACAGAAAACAGCTGAAAACTGCACCTCAGTTAGTGATGGATAAAGGCTGCTTCTGCAGAACAAGAGCAGAGAGTGAGAGGAAGATGCAGCAATTGTACAGCAAGGAGCAATGGGGGAGGGGGCAAGGTAACTCTCGTGATAGGGAAGGAAGACTGTAGCCCCATTGAACACATGGTCCCGTCAGTGTGATGGAAACACACAACTGCTACATGGGTATCCACAGTGCTAGGTGTAATTAAGGCCCACTTCCAACTGCCTAGGAACTGTCAGTGCTGGCCCTGATAAGTTATAGAACTTTTAGGATTCCATAGACACCTCTTTTGCTACTTTCTTAGAGAAGGGTCATTGCTCTTTGGTCTTTGCCCACCCACTATCTAGAAGATTTCTCAGAAATATGGTGGAGTTCAAAGGTTGTCATTTCAGACAATTGGCATATACTGAACATTCTCCAGGGAAACCAGAAACACAATTTTCACTCGGCTGGAACCAAATGGTCTTTTCTGCAGTGCCTGGCACCAGTATATGGATTCAGACTGTACGAAGATCTACTTACTGAGAGCCCAAGATTTGTCTCAGATGGCTATTTTTGGTCCAAAGGATGAGATTATTCTGAAATGTTGAAGCATAATGCTGGATTTAAGATATTTTATATGATCTTTTGACGTCTAGTTTTTTTATAGTAGGGTTCTGAAAATAGATTTGATATTGAAATAATTTAACTTTATAATGCTTGGAAAATTCTACCTATATCTATAAATTTTTTAAAAAAGCCTATGGCTGCTCTACGGAAGGAACCCCTGCCTTGCCATCTGCATAGGGTATGTCTGCCTAAGGACAGCTAAAACTTGCTATTGGACTTTAATTTTGTGTGTGAGTAATAAGGGGAGGGTTTTATAATACTCAAATTTTACTGTAGCAGATATTTTTAAAAGTAGCTATTTAGACTCATTGCATAACTCCCGGGGAGCTATTTTTGTTCTTTGAGTTATTTTATTTCCTACTTTGATTTCATCTATTTGAGACTAGATCACATTGCTTTTATTACAGTTCTTTCCCATTTCTTCCATTATTTCTGACACTGTAGGAGCCGACATCTTTGGCTCTTTAGCCTTTTTCTCTCCAACTTAAGCTGCCTGTTCCTTTACCCATGGGGCAATTTGTCTTTGCCTGGACATCTGTGCCTGGTATCTCAAAAGTACAGTTCAAATTTCTGGCACTTCTGTGGTAGTGTCTGAATGGTTTTCCTTCCTCTAGCACTGGCAGTGAAGTGACTTAAATGAGCTGTTCCAATGGTCTGCAAGGTAGAAGAAAGGGATGCAAACTTCAGGAACCCTACAAAATGTTCAACTTCTCTGACCACAGGGTTGGGGACCTACCATCAGCAGCCATCAGAGACCTCCTCCTGATGTTAGGTCATGTAAATTGGCCAGCTCCTTCCAGGAAGACTTTTCATGCATCTCCCTTGGGGCTCCAAGACTCAAACCCTTCTAGTGGTTTATTTTAAGGAATCAATCCAATAAAGGCATAGGAGAAGAAATACAAGAATGCTCTATATTGTTACTTTCCTCAAATCCTCCTTCTAATTGTATTTCTATTCATGGGAAATTAATTCTTCTGTCTTCAATTATGTCATCATTCAAAAATACATTTATAATTTTTAAATGGTGGTCAAAAATAAGTGATTTGAAGTTCTATTCAACAGCAGGTCTCTCTTTTGAAAAAATAAATATTTATCTGCTTATTGTGAAATCAAGTTATTAAAAGTAGCTTAATATATGTATTATATGTATATATAATTTTAAATGTCAAGTCACATTTGATAAAATTAAACATTTGGAAATTCTTCAATGTCTAATTAGTCAGCAAAAATATATTAAATGGCTACTGGATGCTAGATATTCTAGGTTCTGACATTGCAATTGTGAATTGCAATGCTAGGTTAATTGTGCAAATTACATCGCAGTGAAATTTAGTGTCTATGAAAACAAAAGGGCATGTAATAAATGCTGTCATCACTGACCTCACATGGAATTTCTCCAGGGAGCACCAAGGCCAGAGGCACAGACACTCTGGAAGCTTCTTGGTCTTCAGCTCCCTTCTGTCTACATGTCTCCTCAGAATATTTTGCTCTTGGGTCTGTTGGAATGCTGACCTCAAGGTAGTCTTCAGAACCTGAGAAAAAATTGCAAGAATACAGATTATTTTCATTCTATCTACTATCAAAAAAAGATTGCTGTGGAAAATATTTCATAAGTGTAGAAGCTGAGTATAGAATACTTGAAATAAGCATCTTATTCATTCAAATAATATTTCTTGACTAAATACCATTATAGCACTTATGACTAAGCCACATTGTTATATGATTATATGTTCATCTGTTGGTTAAATGTTGTCAGAAATTCCAAATATCACATTTTTCTAGTGCCATTAATAAACCAGTAGAATATTAGAAAATTTACCTTGAAAATTATAAAGAAAAAAAATTCAGTTAGAAGAATCTAAGCCAGTATACTAGCTTATAGATACACATTCTAATTTTAAATACTAATTATAAGCGAGGAATGGATATTAAGCCTGTAATCCCAGCATTTGCAAGGAGAAAAAGGTATGTATGCTAAACGTTCAAGTCCAGTCTGTGTTACATGAGTTCCAGAGCAGGCTGGGCTAAAACATAATTATGGAACAACTATTAAGTAAAATAACACTAGATGCTAAGTTTAATAGTGAAATACAGGGCTGACTGTGTTACTTAGCAGGTCAGAGTCCTTACTGCTCTTTGAGAGGACCCAAGTTCATTTCCAGCACCCATATCACCTAGCTCATAACTGTCTGTACCTCCAGCTCCAGGGAATCTGACTTCTTCTGGCCTCCTTAGACACTTATACATATGTGCATATACTTACATATATACATATACACATATGTAAATAAACTAGTAAAATAAGGGTGCTCATCAAAATGTTTAAGTGTCCTATGAACATAAGTGATTCAATTCAAATGATTTCTTTATGGAACTTCTAGGAACAAGGAAGCATATTAATATGATTTTCAGAGCATAAAGAGGGGTGAAGTGACTGGTTTTTGTCTCGTTTAACACTTAGTAACAGCATTTACTCTCAATTATTCAAACATTGTTCTCAATTGAAAGTCAAAGAATGTTGTAAATAATAACTACTCATTAAAAATTAAACTACTCATTGTCTTAAAACCCAAAGTGTTTCCAACCACAGGGATGAAATTAAGATTCTAAGAATGGGTGACATCTGTAATTTTTAGGGTCAGCTCAAAGAGAATTAAAAAAAAAAGTGTTGCTACAGAAACTTGCCTGGGTAAGTAGAAAGAGTTTGACTTTCTAGGAGGGAGCCTTGCTTGAGGAACAACCCTTTTATGTCACCAGACAAGGCTCCTCTGCTATCTGTGTCGTCAGAGGCAAGACCACATTGCAAATGTGATGATTGACCCTTCCCAATCTTGGCTGGTATAAGCAACAACTCCTTCATTTAAATTAAAGCAATAATGTCTTTTCTTCAACCTTCAGATAGCACCAGTCAATCTTACCAGTTTTCCTAGGGTTTTTCTGACTTTAGTACCGATAATACCACGGGCCAGGAAACCCTCCACCCTACCTCAGTCCAAGCAAACTAGAACAATTGTCTTCCTCCTAAGTAAAGTTGCTAATCTATAGATCATGAAAGTGACCGTGTGACAGATTAGAGAGACCCAGCTCTTCTTGGAGGTCTTTAGCTGAGCATTAAACCCTGATAGATTCTGTTAGGAATAGTGTTGGGGATGATGTCTCTGCATTGTAGGCATCCTTTAAAGTTCACTTTTCCTGGGAATAAGCAAAACTCTTGCCAGCAGGCATCTGGTCCCTTGAACAGCAGCTAACAGATCCTTCCCTTATGCTAGTTACTGAATGTGGAACTTTCAACTAACTTCCCCTCTCTAGGTGACCTGCTATCTATGGTCACTTTGATCACCCAGCTGCTTTGAACATTTCGATGATGCTTAGAGGAGTCTCCAACGCTGATGTCACTTTAGTAAGAGATGGGACTTTAATCATACACGCAAACTCCTGCCTCCAATGCCTAGAAATGCCTCCGAGCTCTCCAAGCCCTGCTGACCACTAGATGATGTCATCCGCAGCTGTTCCAGAGTTTCCTGGCCCCAGCTGCTCTGGATCATGTCTGAGCATGGCATGTCCTAGTCCAGAGAGCCTTATGCAAAGCTGTACAAAGTTATCATATTAAAAAAAGTTGTCAGGAAATATCAAATGTTACTTCTCACAGGTGCAGAGGTACTCCAGAGTTTCCAAAGGCAGGTTGTGGTAATCATGAGGAACAACTGGCTGCCATTGTTCTTGTTTCCTACCTTTGTAGGCAGCCCAAGGTACCAAATTCTGCACCTGCCCCATGCTGATTGCCCCAGTTCATCAGACTGTGAAGCTGAGCTACCAGAAGTGCAGTGAGACACATCCACCACCTATGCTGGTGGGAAGAGGCGAGGCCATTTTGGCCCATTGTGCTTGCTAGTCCAGTTGGGTTTCTGATACACCCTTTTTACAGAAAAAGAAAAAAGACGTCTACTTTCACTTTGTTCACATTTTCCTTTGTGCAGTACCAATCTTATTCTTTCCCAAAAAGTTATTGTAATACTAAAGCACGCAGCCTTGGTAGAAATCTATCAGAAAATAATCTCTGCTTCTACTCCAACTATGGGTCTTGAGAAGCTAGGACCACCCTGGAGCTTCCTATCAATCTCGTCCAGACAAGGAATGAAGATGAGGACTGGAAGAGCTGAGAAAGGAGTGATGGAGCAGAGAGCAGCCCCTTCTGCTCCTGCTCCTCCTGAGAAGGAACCATTGCTTTTGGTCTCATCTTCTCTGTATTATGAAAGTTGAAGAGTTAGGGAACAAAGCTTCCAGATTTCCAGACTCCTAAAAATTATGGTCTTGTTTACAACAAATAATAATGCGCCTTTATTTCTCTCACAATTTCAGTCTGTTTCCTGAGTAGTCTCATGCCTCTGCCATCTCTGTCTCTGCACTTAAATAGTGCGAAGTTGAATGAAACAATGGATTTGAATTGGTGAAAGAATCAAGAGGGTGATTTTACTTAATACACTGTAAAACATGTCATTCTACTACACCATATCAATGTGTTGGGCCTTTGCAAAGGAATATTTTGTAATGTTGGGTTACAAAGAACTATTTTTCCTAAGGAAACCATGGAGGTACAAAAAGAGATAGCTCTATGATTGCGAACAGAAAACTAGAAGCAAGATAGGTAACAGGAAAACAAACAAAATATGTTGCTAGACAAAAGATATTCATAACATAATTCTATAAGAGAATACTTAACATTAAGAAACATTTTTTACTATAATTTGAAAAATTCAAGTTACTAAATTGTCAGCTTAAAAGTTCATGCAGCAATGTGTGTGTGTGTGTGTGTGTGTGTGTGCAGAACTATGCAATAGAAATTCAAGACATTCATTTCCTTGAAGGAATGAGAATAAACTAACCATATCTATATCAAAATCATAGGAATGGCTATTTTTAGATACCAGGTTTTATCATATATGTACATATATTATGGCCCTCTAAAGGAAGCAGGCAGTGAGTCAGTCTGATATATATATATAATATTTATATATCATAAATCATATACAAAATTATGATTTTTCTTCACTGAAATGTATTTTGCAGAATAATCTATAGAATTGACTCTACACATTTTGTTTCAAATCAATGAATAAATTGACTAAGACAAAATATATGCATCTATTGCCTTCTACAATATGCAAGCAACATATCATAGGCTTTGTCTAAGGAAAATAATTGCTTTAGAACATTAGATATTAACATGTATCACTGAGTTAGAACAAACTTTAAACAGTTCTGAAAGTCTGCTATTAATCAGAAATTAGATGAACACAGACACCCAAGCACAGAGAAAATAGAGTCCAATACATGATTGTAAAACATAATTTCAAATATAAGATTGGCTTCCAAAATAAAAGAAACCCCAGACCCACAGCATGGACCAGTAGGGGCTCATGAGACAAACAAATCAAACTAGTAGAAGCCCTAGGAAGTCAAAGCTCCTGGTAACAAATTAAAATCTAACTAGTAACAATTCAGAATACTGGGACTTCTGCAGAAGCTACTGCTACTGAGAAAGAAGCAATTTGCCTTCATTTGAATAAAACTCTATTTATTCTTTCTAGACAAAACATACTAGACATAAATACTAAGTAACCCAAGGTGTGGAGCCTGGTATATTTTCTAGTTTCTCAAAGTTAGCAGAGACGTTAAGAAGTACTGGCCAGTACTTCTCTGTGGGCTTTGGGGTGTGTGACTGTTCAAACCTGGGTGCTCATAATAAGTGTAATGGCAACTGACGATTGGCAATGACTTTCAGGAAAAGTATTGTGCGTCACCACAAATAATCACTTGCACTATCAGCAAGCTAGAATGGTCTCATAATGAGGCTTCATTTTCATAAAGAGAGAGAATGTTATACTGGAATCTGATCTAAAATTTTATAAACAAACTTTTCAGAAATACTAATAACAATGGCAGAATATTTATTATATGCCAATATAGCTTTTGATTTATTATTTATATTCGACCAACTCTACAGGGTTTATAATAATACCCTCCATGTATAGATTAATAAATTTATTGTTTCAACCATCTCTATATCATGAATTATTCTGGATGCTAGGAACACTTCTATGAGCTTTGCTTCTTCAGGTTTGCAATCAAATACAGGGCAGAGCAAACAACGTGAGTGAAGAGTGGATATGGCTTAGGCCAACTGCTGGGAGAAAAACAAAGCTAGTAACAGATCTGACAGGGAAAACAAGGAAAGGCAGAAGCATTCCAGCTCTCCACAGATTTATTCGGTTCTGAGCGGTAGATTCACAACCCCATGGTCACACAGCTGGTTATTTCTGGAACCAGACAGACAAGCTAGTCAACATCTAGAGACATATGATTACAACTGTCTCCATCCCATGTTGGTAGAGTTATCATAAGGCTGATCCGATAGACTCAAAGACACAACCCTTTTACAGGCATTACAAACAACAAGTGACCTCAAACTCCAGAGGTCATGTCTTAGGCATCAGTTATGACCATAGCATAAGAGTCTACCCTAATTAACATT